TATATATATATATATATATATATATATATATATATATATATATATATACACTCACTATATATATATACATATTATTTTTGCTTGCTTCTTGCCTTTTCTTGTTCATGTTGGCCCTTGAATAGATTATCTGACACAGATTCAAACCATTGCTTTTTTTGTTCCTGGTAGCTTCCTCAGGGGCAAATGCTCTTCTGATCCATGAAAAGCTGCTCGGCTTTTGTGATGAAAAGTTCTCCATCTGTGGTAGGAGGTGATTTAACTTGTGCGACCCTGCAGCTAATATGAGTATATTTTACTGTAACAAAGCGGTATGCTCATATATTCCAATTATTCTCCACCTGATTTCTTTTTGCGAAGAGGAACAAGATTTTAATTCAGTTTGAGAGCAGGGAAATCCAAAACACTTGATTTATTCTTGTTTTAATTCATGATCAGACAGGTTTCTCACCCGTGTTTAACCTTTTTGATTCTTCTAAGAAGCTGGAAAAAAGATTTCAAACAGAAGGGGGGGTGGAGGAGTTTAAATGTCAAGAAGCCTGTTCACCATCCCAAACAGCGAGTGGCGAGCAGACGGTCCCACGGGGACTCAGTGGTTTTGCTGAGTGTGCGCTCAGAATACTGATACATGAACCCACCCCCTTTCCAGCTGAAACTCCCTGTTTTCCTCTGTTTGCCAACACAAGGTGCGCAGCTGAAAACAAGAGCAGACACAACAACCAGCACAGACGGTACATCCACCAGGTTCAGCAGAGAACAAGAGATCAAAATCTGGATTGGCTGCATTGCAGCTCCGCAGACGAAGGACACTAAAATCACTATCCGAATATTTTATCTTGTAAACAGAAAAGCTGTGACTCACAGTCAAGCACTCAAATAGTTTTGAGATGTCTCTCTTACTTTTGCTTACAAATAACTAAAACCTGGAAGAAAACGTCCCAAACAACTAAATTTTAAAATATACATTTTCACAGTTTTACGTTAGATTACATTTTGCTGTGGAACACCTGAGACAAATTTTTGTTCTTGTGAAGTAGCTAAGGTGGTTATGGGTGTTTGACTTCCCAGTCTGCATGTGTTTTGAGGATCTGGAGAAGGCGTATGTCCATGTTCCCTGAGACATTTTGTGGGTGACTGCTGAGTATGAGGTGCCAGGTGCACTTTTATAGTCTGACCCATAGTCATTAGAGTGTTGCTCCAGTCTGTTGTGGTGAAAGAGGAGCTAAGCCTGCAAATCTTTCAGTATACTGGTACATCTACATTCCAACCTTCACCTATGGTCAAGCTCATGACTGAAAGAGCGACGACGCCGGAGATGAGTGGCTGAAATTAGCTTCATTTATATTATGACTGTTCAGTCTTGGACATGAGGTGAGAACCTCAGAGAGCTGCAGCTCCTCTGCATCAAAGGGAGTCACTAAGGTGGTTCGGGCATCAAATGAGAAGGCCTCCTGGGGGTCTGCCTTTGGAGATTTTCTAAGCATAACTCTAGGATAGGTCTCACCCTGGATAGTTTAACTATCACACAAAAACAGACAACCGTTCAAGTTTACACTCTTTCTAATATCCAACTCAAATCTCCCAATTAAACAAACAAGAATGTTTTTGGACTGTGAGAGGAAATCCTCAGGCAAAAGACGGTAAATGGAAACGAGCCTTCTTGCTTTGAGGTTATTACTTAAAATTCCCTTTAAATGTTACTGTTTATAAATCGGTGTTCAAGTCTTTGGACATTTTGTGGGGTGGCCACAACAGACAGTGTAAGCTCATCTGTCATGATTTCATCAGATGCATACCAAACCCTCCCTGGTGGAGAATAATCTACTCGTGATTTTCTTGTTTGACCTTTCACCCTACATGATGAATGTGTCTGTACTTGGAGGATATGGACTCCTCATGCAAACTCATTACAGTCACCAGGCAGGCTAGTTATGGGGGATGGGCATGGGCAAGGTGGAACTGCCTCAATGTCAAATCAGGCACTCCTGAAATACTGGTAGCTGTTTTTCTTCCTTAGCATTCCCCTTTTCATGCAAGTGCTCATTAGTCTTTCCTTCCATGCTCAATGCCTTATGGGTAGAAGCAGATTTGCTGTTGAGAATCTCATCATAGATGGTTAAAGGGACGGATAGAGTTTTAAATAGGCTGGGACAAATTACTGCACGTAAGACATTATGAAATAGAAAGTGAGGGTATAGAGCTGATGATATAAATAAACAACCATCTGGCATATGAAGGGTCTTTTAAATCAACCCATCGCCCATTGAATTCAGAAGCTTTGTTCTTGATGTGCTCATTGGAAATTCATTAAGGACGTGTCTGTTGCTATGCTTCTTTTTCTGAGAGTTGCTTTGTAGTTAGTCACACATTCTGAAGCGTTTACATGTCACCAAACGACACCATGTCATCTTAAAATCCTTTAATTGCTGCTTAATTTGCTCTTTCCAAGACGCAAAATCTCTTTCTATACTTGAACTCTGCAATTATTGAAAGGCTGATTCCAGACTTGAAATGTTACTTTTAACAGGGTGTAGTTTTTTTTAATGCAAATCTTAGGCCTTTAACCACCTTTTCCATGGCAGAAATGGCATTGATCAAAGTTGAACAGCCTCCTACCTTTTGACAGCCATTTATTGAACACATGATTGATCACATCCATTGGGTCAATACAGTCTCTATTGATTTGAATATTGTTGCTTACCTCCTGCAGTTGGGGAGTTGGACCTTTGGCTCTGAGTTGTGCTTGCTATGAATTCTTGAATCTGTTCATGATCGATCCTGAGGGTAGAGGACCACACCTCTGACTGGTTTTCAGGATTCAGAGTCGTGGTTCCAGAAAAGCCCTGACCAGCATGGCTTTGAGTGTGTGGGATTTCTGACATCGTGCCCACTAGTGACTTATCCTCTACATTACCAGTTGAATTTCTTTGTCCTCTAATAAATGTAGGCTGAGTAACAGGCTTCAGAACATGCGTGCTGGTCGGTGCCACCTGTCCTGGGTTTAGTGTTGTTGTTTGGGCTGAAGCCCACGTCAAAGCAGTGGGTACTGTAGTTTCTGGTGGTATTGTTGAGTAAACCCTCACTGATAAATCTTCTGCGTTTCGATAAACACTTTGTTCATCTGTGAGGTGTTGTGTAGTCACACCCATGCTGGGTTTTGTTACTGTTGTGGTTTCCCGTGGTGGGTGGGCATCTGCTGTATTTTGTTCCAGAGCGTTGCTGCTGGTGAGACTGTTGGCGAACAGAGTATTTCTGATAAAGCTGATTGTGGGAGAAACAAAAGCATCATTGTCACTCTGAACTATGCTGCTGTGTGGGGTATCTGGTGTCCCAGTGGGAAGCGCTTCAGTTCTTATCTCTGTCACGCTCGTGAGGAGCCCCTGAGTCAATGCGGTGGGCGACTGAGATTCTTCCGAATCAATCCCTTCTCCTGATCCTGTATTGTCTTGCAAGTGATTAGCTACTTCTGTCAGCCCTTTGGAAGCTGTGATTGAGGCAGCTGCTTCATCTTTGTCATCTGAACTTCCATAGAAAGGGATGCGGAATGAAAGCGAGGGGAGGGATGGAAACTTTGGCAAGGACGGGGTCCACCAATTATTGCTAGGCTTCTTCTCAGGTGGATTCTTGTTTGCTGTTGTCGGCCCCCAGCCGGCCTCTTCATCTGCCAGAGCCCACCTGTGAAGTAATAGAAAGTACCAGAAGCAGAGAGCTAATATCCAGTGGAGGCGAAGCATACTGCCGACAGTGGAGCACGGATTGTCACATGTTGTTCTCTGTTCTACTGTTCCCTGAGGCGGATACGGCTGGCTTCCCTGCAGAATGGCCTAGAAGACAAGAACACACAGGACACTCGGTGACACACTTTTCTTCTACTCATGGTGGACAGCTGCGTTTGGATTTTCTTGAGAGATTAACATCTCTTCATTAGCCCTTTTATAAAACTCTTTTGGAAGGCACAGAGCACTGGGTTCTCAGAAAGTGACCTGCTTACAGCAAATCAAGTGAAACTATGACACTCTTCAAAGAAACTTCTGAAATAAGCAGGCTACACACAAGCTAAAGTGACCAGATGTCACATTTAGAGGCCCAGCATTATTTTCACAGCAGTTTTAAACTAAAAGCACCTTATCAGTAAAATTGAAAGGGTCTTCATCTATAATAACTTTGTTATTATAGACTAAAACCTGTTATGTCACCTGTGATATTGCAAGAACTTGTGCAATTTCTTATTTATACTCTCATTCTCGCGTCTCGCTGATGTTGTTGCTTGACGGAAAGCGCCTAGCTTCTGTCTCTTACCACTCGCCAACACCCTGACTTGTGCATTGCCTGGATTCAGAACTTGTGTCTCGCAGGCTATGCGGTACGCTTTGTGTGATTTGGTCAGAGCTTTGTGGGCATGCCTGTTTATGCAGAACAGCGCATTATCAGGAGAAGTACCAGATCTTCCTCCTCCCCGTCTTCCTACTCCTCATCCAACAGCACGAGTCTCTCTTCCTATGTCTGATACGTCGTTGAGTGAAAATAAAGCCCCTTATCTTCCTGCTTATATATGCACCTGTCGTGTGCTACAGTGGGGGTGTTGTGGGAGGTCAGAGGGAGGAATCATCATAATTCATCCCCCATGTCTTCTCCTTGACTATAAACACTGTGAGACAAAGGCATCTGAAAGAGCAAGCTGTTCACCGTGTGGAAGTATGAATCCACCTTTAGAATGTCACCAACCACTTTAATACAAAAATGTGCATGTCATACATACCACGTCATTAAACAATGAAAGCACTTCCACCCTTATGCAATATCCCCAACCAGCAGTGTTCAAGAAATAACGTCTGAAAGTTGGGTTTGGGGGAGGTCAGTAAATAATGGAAGTCTGGGTTTCCATCCTAATAATAGAGGGGCCTCCTATTCTTTCATAAAGCATCAAATGGTTCAAAGTCAGCAGCCTGTTGCCTCAGTGAAAAGACCGGAGCACCAGAGGAATTTCCCCTGCAAGAACAACAACCTGTGCGCTTTCTTGTTCCTAACTCCCCTCTAAATGACTCCCAGCTTTGTATTTAGTCTCTTTAAGTCTCTGATTTATTTGTTCTTTAAAGGAGAGAGAGAAAAATATTGGTGTGGGAGTGGAGAAAAACATGAATATTCACAGAAAGCTGCTGTCAGATTGAAGCTCTCGCCAGCATCTCTCTGTCTTGTACTTAGTCTAACTCTTAATGTTTCCTCTTCATTATCAGCTTCTATTCTTTGCTGTTTGCAATGCATAAACTAGATTTAACTCGGTGTAGTTAAATCTAGGTGTTTTAATAACTGAGAGTCATTGCAAACTAACTTTTTGCACAAGATCTGTGTTCCAAACTTTGTTGTTAACTATTAGTCAACTGCATCTACCTGTTAGCAAAATATCACTTTTGAACCATCGGGCAGATTTTTACCAAAACTCAAAAAGCAAACGCCGTGTTTTCATCTACAACGCTTTAATGTTTAGAATAAACTCAGTTCAAGATGGCCACCACAGCTAAGTAACTTTAGCAAGCCTAAATATATGGGACCAAATATAGAAATATAAAGCTAAAGTTTGGTGTGGTAGCAGCTAGGCATCATGCCTTTTGAGCACTTCATTCTTTTCATTTAAAGGTTCGGTAATGATTGAGTACACGTCTTCAACTGATTACGATTGGAAGTCAACCCAATTAAAAATGTTGGCTACAGCTAATCGACTTTACGTAACACAAACATGTCTATAACCCAGTTAGTTTTGCAGATATTAAGCAAAACATTTAATGTGGTAGTAGCTAAGTTATCCTCAGCAGATGCTCTGAGTGCTAATGCATCTTTTCAAATTTCACAAAATCACACAATAGTGTGCACACCACCACTTGTTTGTACAGAATGGCTGTAACTCAATTTAAGGATAATAATTTAAAACTTTGGCACAAAAGTCAGCAGGTGATGTGCATCTTTCAAAAATTGCTAGGCCTTTAATCTTTATTCTGTCGTTACTGTTTCCTTTGACAAGCTCTTAAACTAAACCAATGGGCCACAGAATCCAACTAATCGGAGAGGTAGGGGTTTGACTCTCTATCTCCCTCTGTGTTAAAGCCTGGAGGGATGAAGCCAGCCTGGATGGGAAGTCACTTTCATTTTAAGTCTGACTAACAGGGGGTTAAACACAGCACTTCCCACACACTCCCCAGTTTTAGCACTTTGATTGAGCAGCATGAAAATCGGTTTCCAAGGAAGTGAGGGCTTTATTTATAGGAACCTGTTTGTTCGAGCCTGCACTGACCAACCTGCATACAGTTCATGCATGCAGAGATATGGCTAGATGAATTGGGACCTGACTCTGCATGTTAGCACGGAGTGCGCTTTTCTTGCCCACATGCACGGTTCTGTAGGTGTGAACACCCACGCACGGACTCTTCTTGGTTTCTCCAAGAGATTTCATCAGCAGTTTCACATGGCAATGAGCTCAAATGCAAGAGAATCGAGCCTTGAAGTCCGTTATCATTCCTCCCGAGTGGCTCTTTTGTTGATTGGAAACATAAAATATTTATCAGCAGGGATTATGTATAATTTATTTTGACTAACATTCTCACATTTCATTGCAGCAACACTTTCATGTGGTTCAAATAAGCTCACATAAAATACTGCTCCCAATTTGCTCATAGCGAATCAATTTTTATCTAATTCCAGGATTACAAAGACGTATGATCACTCTTTAAAGTTTGGGCTATTTTTGGATTATATCTTTGGTAACAATGAAAAGTTACTCAGCAACCAAGTATGTGTAGACACTAAAATTGGATTGACATCTTTTTTGAAGCTAAAGTTGCTATCAGACAGCAGTCAGATCCCATTTCCTGATGTAAAAAAGTAACAAAAACAAACTTGGAACAGTGATACTGGATGATTTCTGACAGATTAATCAACTTTTAAGAAGCGCCACAAAGTATATTAAGGATATGAAGGTCATAAAGCTAATAATAAGCTTTTTTTGGTAAAGCACAAGTTTTTACAAGATACAGAGGGGCAGATTTTTGTTTCAAAATGAGTCAAAACCAAAAGTGAAACGTAAATAGATAATCTACCATTTTTTGGACTGTAAATCGCACCAGATTGTAAGGTGCATTAAGCAATACTAAAACATTTTGATATATTCTTGAGCACCGTGTGCCACATAAAATCGATTCGAGGTCAGTAAGCACAACCAGAGTTGATACATAAGGCGCACCGGATTATAAGGTTCACTGTTGATTTTTAAGAAAATTAAAGGATTTTAAGTGCGCCTTATAGTCCGAAAAATACAGTAGTCGTTTTTTAAAGTGTTCTGACAAATTGTCATCAATAGTTAGTACCTTAACAGCCATCATTGATACATTCGCCAGCCTCTCAGCACCATTATCATAAAACAATCTATGCTCAGCATACATCCACGTATTGGCACACATGCTATTTAATTTAAGAGAATAGTGACAAACTAAAACTGTCATGCTAAAGTGTTAATTTAATATTATCAAATGTCAAGTTCTTTCACATCGGTGTCTTTTTTTAAATGAGTTGTTTTATAAGCCTAAATAACAATTAAAAACTGGCCCTTGTTTGACTAGCCTACCATAGATGAAGACTTTTGCCTCTTTCTTCAAACTTCGTTCTCTGACTGACATCGCAGACATAGCAGATGTGATGACGGAACATCACTTCAAAAACTAGACTATCCTTTTAAATTTGTTTGTTGAAAACCTTTTAGCTCAAACGCTGACTTTATGAATAAAAATATGGAAAATGTATGTCCCTTTTTTCAAACTACACAACAGGGATTCACATCCATACACATAAATTGTCAATAAAGAGCATTCTTCCTTAAATGTCGCATCTCTACGCACAAAAACCAACAAGTTTGTCTTGTCTGTAATCAATCCTTTTCTCAGGCAGCTTTAGCCCAATAGTAAAGAGGTCACCTTTTAATATGAGGGTCAAGGACTTGATCCAGAGCCACTGAAGTGTGCCAAAGTGTCCTTGGGCAAGACACTGAACCCCCACTTCCTCTGATGCTCTTATTGGTGTAAGAGTTAGAATAAAAAATGCTCCATATGGTACAAGTATATAATAGAAAGCAGCCCATGTGTTAGTATGTGTGAGTAGCAGCTCCTTCCAGAAAATGTAGACAGTTTAACATTTGGAGTGTGCCTTGGTGACCTTTAAGAGTTGTCCTCTTGTCTTCTTCCCACTTTAAAGACTGGTAGTAAATATGGAGAGAGCAGTAACAGAAACAATGGAGGCTATCCAACTTTAACTCTTTCTGGCTAAAAGACAAAACCAGTACTGTAGAGTTTGGTCAACAAACAAGCCATGCAATCCCGACTCAATCATTTGCAACTTCCAGAAGTGGATGTCTCTGTTTTCTTGAGTGTACAAGAGAAAATCCATTTTTCCACTATCATAAACTACAGATCAGTTGTTGCACAATTGAACTAAACCCCAAGTAGCTTAAACGGTTGAGTAAGTGGGTGCACTTTATAAAAATAAAAGCTGAAACAACAACAAAGATGTTGCAATGCTTTGTGATACAGACGCAATAAATTAGGCGTCACAACTCAGTTTCCAGTTAAACATAATTTACGTGTTGGCCGTGCTGTTCCCCAGTTAATCTAATGCTCTTTCCATCTCTAACCACATCAGATCTGAAGGAAGGGGCTGACAGGCAGCAGAACAAAGGGAATAAAAGCATTGCAAAAGTGTCTGTGGTGAATTTACAACACCCGTCTACTATTATTCTGGTGTTTTGAGTCACTGCTCCTGACAAACGCAGGAGTTTGACGTCGTACCGCACTCGATGGAGCAAAAGACAAGAACAGTGGAGGAGACAAGATGTCCTCTTGTGACATTATCAGACAAGAAACTCTGCAGCGGACGCCTTGATGCTCGTGTTCATTTGTACGCCTGAATCTTTGTGTGTGTTTGTGAAAAGAACCCCCTTGACTTGCCGGCTTCTCTCAGCGCTATCAGCCATCTTGATCTTAATCTGCCTTCACCTTGCTGTAGCTTATTTCTCCGAGGAAATTTCATTTTGTTCTGTTGATCTGACGTTAAGGATTCTGCCTCTACAAGCCTCAGTGTGATCATAACGTTAATGCGCTCTGGAAAGCAAGAAAAACAGAGATTGTGGTAAAATGGAGGAAGGTGAAATAGGAACACAGTGAATTAAAGGTGTTTGTCTCTGCTGATTGACTGAAATTGAGAGGCTGTGCACCTCGGGGAGCCAGAAATTGAGACGAACCGACTGCTGCCACTGTCATTACTTTTTAACAAACCCGGTGTACGCATGAGGTCTCCGTATTTGTGGCACAGTCCAGGGTAATGGAGTAATTTACCTTCCTGAAAATGGCTCCAAGTCAGGGTGCTAGTTGCTTTTTCCTACTTCTGTTGAGTGGGTGTGCATATTTACAAGCTGTACTTTTTCACCATTACTTCCATGAGGATGTGTGTGAGCGCATGTGGGTGCACATGTTGTTCCCTACGTGGTTTTGTGTGTTTTTGATTTGAAGGGTCAGAGAGTGGCTTTCACCAGTTTCTTGATTCGAATGCTACATTTCAGTTGCAAGGCAGCAGGGATAGATTTTGCGTAACCTAGCTTAAAAAAAAGGGCCCAATTACTGTAGACAGCAGGTGCCCAGGTTTTTCAGTTTTCAGAAAGGAAGATTGGAAAAGAACAGTCCAGCCAGTCAAAGGATTTGTAGTCTGGCCTAGGTTAAAAAACAACACAACAAAATGTCTTCCAGATGGATTTAAACTGCTTGACTCTTGTCTTTATTGCAGACATTGTAGTATTTTGTGCAAACATGGCCCTAAACATTGATTAGATGCAAGTTTCCATACCAGTATAACAAATGAAAATGAGTCTTTGTGCTCCATGTAGGGTGAAATCATCACTACTGGATTGTGTTTTCATAGTGTGCACATTTTGTACAAACATTTATTTTGTACCTATCCCTGTTTGGGAAGCAACACTTATAACAGCTGCTAACGCTGGTCAAGAAATGTTCTTGTCCAAAGACACATCATCAGGGCTTTGTGGGGTTTCTTTAGCATTGCCCCGTCCTCGTTGGATTCATGGCCAAGAGTCCCAAACGCCTGAACTCTGCTTGAGGGAGAGACTCATTCTGAATGGGAGGGAGTGTTCCTTGATGATGGAGGAGGATCACGTGAAACCAAGAGAAACCCTGGTGAATGGTTCCTGAGGCTCATTCAGGCCAACACCCCCCCCCCCCCAATCCAAAACCACCACCAACAACAACAATAAACCACATCTTAGTGAGCCCAGCACCTGGAGGGAGAGTCGTTGGTTGCATGCAGTGCAAGCTAAGTGGTTCGTGAGGATATGGCATGATGATTCTTGGTGACATATTTGGAATTACAGTAGTCCTTCATTTATTGCAGAGGATCCGTACCCTGAAGACCTGCGATAAGTGAAAAACTGTGAAGTAAGAATAGTAGTACAAGTAGTAAGTAGTAGTTTATTTTAGTGTGTGTGTGTGTATATATATATATATATATATATATATATATATATATATATATATATATATATATATATATATATATAAAGGTGTTTTAAACCCTTCCCACACTCTTGCAATATTCTAAACAAGTTTCTAAACTCTAAATACTCTAAAAGAGCACAGAATGTCATGATTTCAGCTCTCTGCCTCCTCTGCTCTTTGCCACCTGCAAGGGCTCGTGGCCCCGCCCACTTCTCCACTCTGCACAGAGAACAGCTGATCAGCTGCAGCAGGAAGCTTATCCTGCAGTATGGGCTGCACAAACGTGCAGCAGGTGCTAAATTTAAAATAATGTATTTTAAATAAAAACTGCATGCCGATCGTGCGGCTCATCCATCAATCAGCCAGTTGTGTGTCGTGTCCAATCTTATTTTGAAAAACCGCGATAGAGCAAATCTGAAAAACGAACCACGAAGTAGCGAGGAACTACTGTATATCTAACAGAACATAACTCAATGGGGGAAAGAAACTCAGCAATAATTTAGAAATTGATTAGTTGCATTTCTCCTCAGTAACTCCTTCAATATTGGCATAAATAGGAAATTACAGTTGACAAATGTTATTTGGAAAAGTTGAATCAAACAAGTTTTAGAGAGCTAAAGAAGAAACTGTTATTTTCTTGAGAAGTCCATTAAAATTATAGCTGAAAGTCTAACAAATACTCTTTATTTGCCACCTGTCTCTTATGACAGCATCTTTTTTTACTTTTGAGTTAGTTAAGTTCCATTTATCGTCATCTTCCACCTCACATGTGCCATCATCAACATGAGTTGTCGCAGATCCACAGATTGGATTAGGCAACCAGCCACAGTCAATAGTCCCTGCACATTATCGACCATAATGAGAGCTGCTCTCATGTCTAAGAATAGCTAAAGCCATTGTTGTGTTTCCAAAAAGGAAGCACTCCAACAGGTGATTTATCTGCCATCGGCTTTACAACCACACACCACAATGAGTCACTCTATTTACCAACAAGGTTAAGTCCTCACTGTTCTAATCTTGCAGTAAGACATACACTTGACATTTATCTACACCACCTCATATTTTCACCCATTTTTTTCTTATGAAACGTTAGTTTCTTTTAAACCCTGCTGCAACACAAAGTCCTGCTCATGTTAGCCTCTGATGGATGCAGTGGACCTGCTCGTTTTCAAAAGGATGTTCTCGAGCGCAGACGTTCCACAGACTGCCTTCACCATGGTGACAGCTGAAGCCAAAGACGTCGCTCTAATCCCACAGATTTGAGTACCCTTTGGATTCTGCTGCTGCAGAAATGTGCTGCTCTCTCACATGAAAACGGACAATTGAACACTACCTATCCATGATATTTGTAAATATCAAAACACGCTCATGTGTATTCCCTGATCTATAATTATACAAGCAACATAAAGTGTGTGGTCATGTGGATAGACCTCACATGACCTTACACACTACATATGATTTGCTTCCTATTCTCTAAATTCTTCACTAAAATGAGAGTCCTCACATCTTTATATCTTGATAATAAAAAGCAACACTAATCTCCAGCCTTTTTCTTTGGTGAAACGGAGGATGTTACCTGCAGCATAATTACAGCTACAGTGTGCTCACCAGTCTGCAACAACATGCACACAGACAGCAAAGCAGCCCTTTTAACAGACCGGCTGATATAAAATCTCAGAGTTGGACACGGATGATGGGTGAGAAAACGTCAGCTGCTTACCTGCAGATGTTGTCAAAAAGATGGAGAGTTCACAGCCAGCTGTGTGTGTGTTTGTGTGCTGCAGGCGAGGGAGGATTTTGCGAGCGTCTGTGGCTTTGCTGTGTAGAATAGAGTTCTAGTGTCTCCCTCCCACTTGCTCTGCTCTCCCTCCCTCTCTCTCTCTCTCTCCTTCTGTTTGTGTCTGTCTCTCACCCACTGCATCAGTAGTTTGCCGTCACAATGCCTGCGGTCACACCTCACTGAGCAAATTGTTCATTACCAAAGATCAACCCACAGCCGCGGACACCCAGACACACAGTTCGTCAGACGACTTATGCGAGCACGCAGTCTGAATGTGAACTGCAAAGCCTCTACATGCACACATAGGAAAGGAGTATATTTAAACAACAAGGAGCATACTGATGTTGACTTTTTAGGTCTGAAGCTCAAGTTCAGAACATGTTCTCCAGCATGGCACAGCACCATATTCTGATCAAGCCAGTTCTAAATGTATTAAAGTAAATAATGTGTGGAAAAAACAAGTGCTTTCTTGTGTGGAGTCTGGCATTCTGCTCTGTTTTTGTATGCTGCAATGCTATTTTGCTCATTACACTTCACATCAACCACACATAAATATAATTACACAGAGTTAGAATGACTTGTGATCTCATGCGTTGTTGCAAGATCTTGCGGGATGTGAATAACTCTCTACCAAATTGTAGGAGTTGCTGCCGTGCAATAACTTTGACCAAACATTCCTCAGATCTTTGCCTAAATGATCCCCAGGAATGTCAAATATAGAAACAATCAGTGGGGAAACATAATTTCCTGAGCAGCAGCTGAGTGGTCCCGCCTGTGATGAAGACCCCCCCCCCGCCCCCCACCCACTCTGCAGCTCAGGGAAGATGGCAGGTTTCACCTTGACTCTCCTTTCCATTAATATCTTCTTCTTGTTTTGCTCCAGTGAAATAAAAATGTGAACGCTCAGACTCTTACTTGTGTCTTACTTTATCAGATAATGGAGTCGAAAAATCAATAAAAATGTAATTTTTAGGTATTTGTTTTGAATTATGTTTAGCCATTTTAATTTTTTTTTTATTATTAAATGCTCTACAGATTAACCTGGAATATCATATTGGGTGGTTTTTATTTTTTTTTATTAGTTTTCATTTTTCTTCTTGTTTTACTGGTATTTGTTGCCCAAGTTTGACTTTATTTACCCCCAATAACATTTTCCATGTAATTAAACGACCTCCTTGTTATTATCCATTTCCACTCTCCTACTGACTCCTCTCAGTAACTATGCTCCTTGGTTGTCTTCAATATCTCCTATTTCCATAATTTATCAGTTTTCAGTTATTCTAATTTGATTTGGGCCTTCTTCCTGTGTTTGACTCCGTTTGGTTAGTGCTTAATTTGTAAACCAAACAATGCCGGAACGCAAATAGCGGGGTGGTGGTGGTGGGGGGTCGTCTCGGGGACCTCCCCCGTAAATTTTTAATAAAGTAGATGCCATTTCCTGCATTTTGGTGTATTTTAACAGATTATTGAACACCTACAAGAAGTAGCCTGACTCCTCGTAGAGCATGCTCCGCCTCTCTCAAGCACCCCTGCTCGCAGGCTCTAAAGCTCCGCCCTTTTAGGGGCAGATATATATATATTTTTTAAAGGTAGAAGTAGACTTGCTTACTTGACGGTGAAGCTATGATATTAGGAAGCTCGTAAGTGGCTGTTATGTTTAAAATTAGTGTTTATGTAATTATTTTCAGATTACATGTCCAATATAGGTTTTATTCATTCAAGGCAGTCACATTTGTTCATAACTTTATTATTAGTAAGCTTGAGAGTTAACCGGATCCAAGAAAACAGTTACGGGAACGCACCCTGTCAAAAAAAGAGCGTTCCTGGATCCTGTTCTGGCAAGATCCAGCTCAAATTAAGCCTGGCCTTTGGTTGCTGTATACGATTTTAGTTTTGTTGTATATTTGCTGTTTTATTTTGAAATTTATTTAATTTTAGCTGTTCTAAATGATCATTTATTTTCACTTGCTGTGTTGCTTTGATGCTTTACTTCTCCGTTAGATCATTAAGGTTGAACTAGACAAATCTTCTTCCATATAATATCTATAAATAAGCACTGGTGCACATATCCCTGCGGTATCTCTGACGGCAGTAAACTTCTGTGTCTTTGTGCCGTGTCGAGTCATGCTGGCGTCTTTAGGACAGTATTCAGGGTGTTGTGCGACTGTCTTTTCCTTGAACGGGCTGCTGGCCTCAGCTGACGGAAAGAGCTGGACAATGGGTAATTGTCAAGGTCAAAAAAAGTTTATTTCTCTAAAAAAAAACGTTGAAAACAATCAAAACTCATTATGTTTTGTTTGGCTCTACACAAACCCTGGTAGGGCTGTTTTAATTCAACACATCTTTCACATAAAATCTTTTTTTAATGGGTAACATATTCTATATAATTTTGCAGGTAAATAAAAACAATGAGGGCTTAAAGTGGCATTTTGTCCTTGGGTTTGGGTTGAGTGAAACACGGACCGTTATCTGCAATCATTGAGCATGTTTAATGCATCAGCTTCCCACTGGGGATTTCAGATGGTTTCCAAACCAATAAAGAAAGATAAATGGGATAAAACCTCCTCACCCAGAGGACAGGTGCCGCACATTTACTGTGAAAGCTTTTCATCGTGTTATGAATGCAAATTCCAGTCTGCAAAAGGAGGGAAGAAACTGGGCAAGAAAGCAAAATATGGAAAACTGTAGCTGGACATGCTTACTTTGATGCCATTTGGAAAATATAAATCTGAATAAAGTTTGGAAAGTTTGGACTCTGTGTAAACTAACCACAGTTTTATTTGACAGCTAAATCAACATTCCTATTACAACTCGCCACAAAATATGCTAATTAATTGTCTTCATTATGGCTCTAAAGGCAAGAGGGAACAGCCTAATTTCACCTCTAAAGTTAAGAAGAAAACCATAAACTACCTAACTGTTAACAACAGAATGTCCTGGTTATGTTTAGTCACCAACATCATTAGTTAGGAGTAAGAAAACACTGATTCAGACATTTTTACTATAATTGAACCCAAACAACCAGTAAAAATGTGAGGATAAATGGTTTTCTGTTCACCCAGTGCATTAAAAACTAGCACCACAGGATGTTTTCGTGTTTGATCGGTAAATGCTGTGAATTGCTACATCATCCAAGCATAAGTACGCGAAACAATGTGAACTTTAACACGTTCCTGCCGTTGGTTCTGGTTTGATTTTCCCACTTGATGCTGTAGTTTAAACCACAACTTCTGTAAATCCTGCCTTTGATGCAGTTTGCGTCTCTTTTCATTGCACGTACGCGGGCACGTGATGCTGAGTGAAAGTGTGACAGAGACGACCGGGTGAAAGGAAAAAGGCTGAGAGGAAAAAGCAGGAAGCTGCTGTGGAATTTCCACACCCTGATGTGGGTGGACCCCACATTTCCCCCCTCTCTTCTCTTTTTCCCTCTCTGCAGTCCCCTCCCTCCTAACTCTCTTTTTTCTCAGACAATAGCGGCCATGTAGAAACAAAGCAAAAAGAAAAAGCCATAGGGTTATGTGCCAGCTTTAGGGAGGTGGTCTTTGCAGACCCTTTTCTTTAGATGAGGGTTTTAGAGGAGGTGGAAAATCAGCAGGGATAAAGAGGAGGGGCTGTTCAGGAGGATGATGGTAAATGGGAATAAGCAGTGCAGGGTAGGGAGGGTCCAGTTGGTGTTGAGTGGTAAGAGAAACATGGATAACATGGTTATGTTATTGTGGGATTTAAACACTTTTCTGGCTCACTGAGCCTCTGACATTTTCTGTTGCTTAAAAACACATGTTGAAAAAAATGACTTCAACTGGTTTTTAACCACCCAAGTCACTCTGCTTTTTATCAATCAATCAAAAAAAAAAAAAAAGTGGGACGTTGTGTAAAATCTAAACAAAAACGGAATGCAATAATTTGCAAATCTGACAAATCAATATTTTATTCACAATGCAACTTAGTGTATCAAATGGCTATTGCATAGCATTGACATTTAGGAAAAAAAAAAACCCAAGATATTTTTGAATTTAATGGCAGCAACCTTAAACAAGTTTGAACAAAAGGCTATAAAAGTTAATGGTACGAAAAAGGAAGAAGTGGAGGAGCATTTGGCAAAATTTGGTTAATTTGTAACAGTTAAACAACTGTTCTGTGGTCAGAGGAATTAAAATGTATTATTTTTGGACCCTCCACATGCTATGTTCTCTTTATCATAAAGGAAAGGGGCCATTCAGTCTGCTATCAGTGCTCATTTAAAAAACCTGCCTCTCTAGTGGTATGGGGGTGCATTTACTGCCTCTGGCATAAGTAGTGCACATATTTGGGACGGTACCATGAATGCATTAAAGTACCGTATATGGCCTACAGATTTTAGAACAACATATTCTCTAATGGCAGCACGATGGCACAACTGGTAGAGCTGCTGTCTCTCAGCAAGCAGGTCCCCAGTTCAAATCCAAGTCTGGGTGCCCTTCTGGGTGGAGTTTACATGTTCTCTCTGTGCATAGTGGGTTTTCTCAGGGTTTTCAGACCAAAAACATACATGTCTATATGTGGCCCTGCAATGGACTTGCGACCTGTCCAATGTGTACCCCGCCCCCCCCCCCACACATGGGCACTGGCAACCCCCGTGACCCTAAATGGAAGAAGCAGGTAAAAGATAATGGATGAATGGATATTCTCTCATCATGAAGATAATTTTTTTTGTTTTTTTTGGGAAGGCCATGCAAGACATTGCTAAACCACAAACTGTATCCAATACAACAAAATGACTTTGTAGTAGAAAAGCTTTGGTGCTCAACTGTTTTTAATTTATATTTTACACATCTCAGCTGTTCTAAAATTGGGGTTGTAGAAATGAGGAGAAAAAATATAAATTTAGTTCTGCTTGTTTTTTTTATGTGAGATATTAGATTATCAAACATGATTAAGTAATTTAAAATACGAAAAAATTAAGGAATTTAAAACACACTTCCGGACAAACTTCCTGTTTAGAAAAGTTAACAGTACTCTGGCTCCATCTTGTGGTAGTAACTGGTACTGCACATATTTTTTTTTTTTAAAGGGCAAAGGGAGAACGTGACCTTCTGTTTCACCTACGAGTGGTCATCGTGACCTTCTTTCCCTCAAGCCTTTGACCTGTGAGTTCAAATGTTTATTTCTTTATTTGTGATTTAGAATTGCTGCTTTCTTGTAACCGAGCATCTTTGTCGGGAGCGAGCGTCGAGAGGAGGCAAGTGTGCGCGTTCACGGAGGGACTGCGGGAGTTAAAAGGGGGCGGTAAACCCGCAGGAGCAGGGGCGGTGATTCATACTTCACTGTCTGCGTCGCTCCGGGCTGACTTCACCGACCCGGTCCGAAGATATTAACCAGACAGCCAAGAGGACAAGTGCACACTTCATTGTGTCAGCATGGGAAACCTACCGCTCTCCATTAGGTAACACGATATGACATAAAATGTTGCTCTGTTTTGGTCAAAACATAATAATTTAATTTAAAAAATGATGTGTCCATCCGAGATGTGGAGATCCAATAAATTTTTCCGCTTCCTGCTGGTAACCTAGTTATATTTAATAAAAAAATAAATAAAAAAAAGTGCGTCATTTCAATGTAGAAAGTCTGCTTCCCTTATAGGAAGTGTCATTTTCACAAAAGATAATTCAAACATGTACAGTAGCATATCTAGCTAGCTGCGGAGCATAACAAGTTAGCTTAATGTAGCTAAGCATGCCACTAAAGTCATTTAATATTATCAGCCCTATGTAATAATACAAGCTGTTTTATTTTGGGGTCAGTATCTTATGGTGAAGCAGAGCTATTAAAATCAATGTCATCTGCATGGAGGCGGTGCTGATGCCTTCATAGATTTAAGTTTCAAGTGTAATAAAATGAGCATGTAAAACAAAACAATTCAAACTAATCCAGTGTTGTGTGTGTGTGAATAAGATTAGATCTGATTTATCTTTTGTTCTAGTTTATTCCAGACTGATGCAACCAAGTCTGAAGAAGCTGTCACAGAGAGGTTTGTAACCAAAACAATCTGTAATAGTGTTATTTATTACTACACTCCAGTCTCAGATGTCCAGACAGCATGTCCAGCCAAAGACTCTCTGACTCCCGCACCTTGTTGCCCCATCCCAGCTTCGCCTCTCAGTGACTTCTCTCCTGCACAATCTTCTGTTTCCCCATTGCTTTCGTGCACATCTTCACACACCGACTCTACTTCCCGTCCTCTCCTTGTTTTCTTCTGCTGGCTCGGTGCCCAGCCCGGAGCTGTGTCCAAATACAGGGACCTGTACCTCGACCGTGGCATGGATGTCCTCCTGGTCCAAAGCAGAGTGATGCACTTCCTGTGGCCTCGTTGGGGGCTCAGCTATGGGTTGGAAGTTTTGAACATTTTGGAGGAGCCTCTGTTCTCTGGCAGACCTATACTGGTCCATTCTTCCTCCATTGGGGGCTACACTTTCACCCAGATGCTCAGCCACATTGCGCAAGAGCCAAAACAACATGCCAGTGTGGCACAAAGGGTGATAGGGCACATCTATGACAGCCTGGTGGTTGGTTCACTGGAGCACATGGCAACAGGTGAGTGAGAATGATCCACCCCAGCTGCACTGTAGCTCAAGTTGCATTTGTACTGCACAGAACTGTGACTAACTTATCAAGCGGTGACCTACTCACTTTTAAAAGTCGTTCTTATTTAATATTTTATGGGTGCCATTTAAATGTGTTTATGACAATTTAGTCTAAAAGGTCTCAAAAATGTTAAACCTCCAATTTACCATCACATCTAATTTTTGACAAAATTACAAACAACAAACTATAAATAGTCCTTCCTTTCAGTTCCATACATTTTGAAACTCATAAAACACAAGTGAAGTTTTCAATTTGGATCTTGTTACAGCTTTATTAATGAGAAATGAGTGTATTTTGTAATTTTGATTAAAAAAAAGTATATGTAAGTATACTGTGTATATGTGTGTTATTACACTCAAACTAAAATGGTCTTAATGCTGCATTTCAGTCTGTGATACTTAACATCTTGTCTTGTTTTGTATATTGGTTGTAAGTATATACATTCCTAGTTTTAAAAAGATCACATATTCTATAAACATATAACCAAAGATGAAAAATTTGAATCTTGTAGGCGATATTGATGAGAAAGTCCCTCACTTCCCTTAAAAACCTACGGTTGACAATCTAGTAGTACACACATCTGTTTTAAGTTGTTCAAAATGTGTTTGTTTCAGACTGTTTAACTTGTTGTAAACAAATATATAAGCATTTTTTTTTTTTCATAATAAAAAATAAAATAATGAAGCCTCCTAATTATTTCATCTTTTTTTTTTTTTGTCATTCAGGTCTTGGAAAAACTCTCATGCCTCGATTAGAGGGTCTTATCAGAAATATTGCCATGCTCTACTTCAGGCTCTTCAAAGCCCACACTGCAGATCTTTACGATAAAAGCATCCAAGTTTTCTACAGCAACCCTGTTACCTCTCCAGCCCTCTTCTTCTTCAGTGAGAATGATGCAATGTGCAACCCCGCTGTCCTGGAGAAACTGATTGATTTCTGGAGGCGGAGGGGAGTAACGGTCGACAGCAGGAAGTGGAAAGAGTCCACTCATGCTGCCCACCTGCGTTGTCACCCAGAAGAGTATGTTTCCACATTGCAACACTTTTTGAACTCTATTTGAACTTCCCATTTTTCCCTCCAACTTTAAAACGTAAACTGAGAACTATTTTTAAAACCGCAACATGAACATTGATTATTTGATCTCTTTGCTTTCACTTGTGAAATGAAACAAATTTGTGTTTTCCTCTGCTTCACTGATTTTATTTTAATCACGGTCACATTTTGAAGTAATTTAAAACATTACTACGACGCCTAATGTTTAGCAAAATAATCATTTGCCAACGATGATTCATGAGCTGTTGTGATGCTTAGAAAAGCACAATATGTGGAAAAAAGTGAGTCTGAAACTAAAGAACTTTGCTAAAGAAAAATAATAAAAACAGCTGTTATCTGGAAATCATAGAATTGTGTTTAGGAGGTGGTAGGATACAGAGCAGCAAATAATAGATCAAGAATATATATTTGCTTTTTCTCTGGACTGGACATCTGGACATTTTGGACCTTACAGTACTGTTTGAATGCAAACAGGAACTGTAGAGAGGATGGTGCCTGGAAGCTAAAGATCCACCCAGTGATAGTTTATTGATTGACTTTGTTGATATTTACTGATCTAAAGAGTAGAGCCCGACTGATATATCATATTGATATCTACAGGTCCTTTTCAAAAAATTAGCATATTGTGATAAAGGTCGTTATTTTCCATAACGTAATGATAAAAGTGAAACTTTCATATATTTCAGATTCATTGCACACCAACTGAAATATTTCAGGTCTTTAATTGTTTTAATACTGATGATTATGGCATACAGCTCATGAAAACCCAAAATGCCTGTCCCAAAAAATTTGCATATTTCATCCCACCAATAAAAGACAAGTGTTTTTAATACAAAAAACGCCAACCTTCAAATAATCATGTTCAGTTATGCACTCAATACTTGGTCGGGAATCCTTTTGCATGAATGACTGCTTCAATGCGGCGTGGCACTGCTGAGGTGTTATGGAGGCCCAGGATGCTTCGATAGCGGCCTTAAGCTCATCCAGAGTGTTGGGTCTTGCGTCTCTCAACTTTCTCTTCACAATATCCCACAGGTTCTCTATGGGGTTCAGGTCAGAAGAGTTGGCAGGCCAATTGAGCACAGTAATACCATGGTCAGTAAACCATTTACCAGTGGTTTTGGCACTGTGAGCAGGTGCCAGGTCGTGCTGAAAAATGAAATCTTCATCTCCATAAAGCTTTTCAGCAGATGGAAGCATGAAGTGCTCCAAAATCTCCTGATAGCTAGCTGCATTGACCCTGCCTTTGATAAAACACAGTGGACCAACACCAGCAGATGACATGACACCCCAGTGACTGTGGAAACTTGACACTGGACATCAAGCAATGTGAATTCTGTGTCTCCTCTCTTCCTTCAGACTCTGGGACCTTGATTTCCAAAGGAAATGCAAAATTTACTGTAATCAGAGAACATAACTTTGGACCACTCAGCAGCAGTCCCAGGCGAGATGCTTCTGACGCTGTCTCTTGTTCAAAAGTGGCTTGACCTGGGGAATGTGGCACCTGTAGCCCATTTCCTGCACACGCCTGTGCACGGTGGCTCTGGATGTTTCTACTCCAGACTCAGTCCACTGCTTCCGCAGGTCCCCCAAGGTCTGGAATCGGCCCTTCTCCACAATCCTCCTCAGGGTCCGGTCACCTCTTCTCGTTGTGCAGCGTTTTCTGCCACACTTTTCCCTTCCCACAGACTTCCCACTGAGGTGCCTTGATACAGCACTCTGGGAACAGCCGATTCGTTCAGCAATTTCTTTCTGTGTCTTACCCTCTTGCTTGAGGGTGTCAATGATGGCCTTCTGGACAGCAGTCAGGTCGGCAGTCTTACCCATGATTGCGGTTTTGAGTAATGAACAAGGCTGGGAGTTTTTAAAAGCCTCAGGAATCTTTTGCAGGTGTTTAGAGTTACGTCGTTGATTCAGATGGTTAGGTTAATAGCTGGTTTAGAGAACCTTTTCATGATATGCTAATTTTTTGGGACAGGCATTTTGGGTTTTCATGAGCTGTATGCCATAATCATCAGTATTAAAACAATTAAAGACCTGAAATATTTCAGTTGGTGTGCAATGAATCTGAAATATATGAAAGTTTCATTTTTATCATTAGATTATGGAAAATAATGACCTTTATCACAATATGCTAATTTTTTGAGAAGGACCTGTATAATACTTGCCCCATTATGCACCGAACAGAGCATGGTAAGTTCATTTTAACTGATCTGTAAAATAAAATGGAGCTGAAATCACGACATGCTGTGCTCTTTTAGAGCGTTTAGAGTTTAGAAATGTTGTTTAGAATATTGCAAGAGTGAGGGAAGGGTTTAAAACACCTTTACTAAAATAAACCACTACTTTCTACTTGTACTACTCATTCAACCTTTATTTAGACAGGCAAATCCCATTGAGCCTCGAGGACTCATTTACAAGAGAGACCTGATTCTGGCTGCTCCCTTCCTCAGAGGTCGCCTCATAGTGAGCCTTCTCATGTCAGATACTCTTCATGAGACAACCTGAGCTTAAACTCTGACCCCTGAGCTACTTAAACTAAGAAGTACCATATTTTTGAAAAAGTAAGGACATTTTAAATTTTATGGCAGCAACACATTTGCAGAAAAGTTGGGCTAGTTGATTACTAAATTAATTAAAAATATATATGATACAGTATCTTGGTTTAAACATTTGACAAGTTTATTATGTTCCATTATGAATAACATTAAGGTTTTCAAGATTTGCAAACTCATTTTTGCATTACTTGTTCAGAAATGGTGTATTACGTGTAAAATACATTAAGCATATGTTTTAAATTTTGATGAGTTGTGTCAAATAAAGCATACACGTTTAAACATAAGGACAAAAGAGGAAATAGTGCTTTTATTGCATAATGTCAGATATCTCCCAGTTTATGATTACTTAAGTATTTTTATATTTACCAGAACTGTACACTGTCTGTACGCATAAGTTAGAAAATACAGCACTTTCTCAATTTTTTGTATCACTTTCATGATTATAAGAACCAGGAAAAAAATTCCAGTTTGTTCAACAAATTATGCTACAAATTTAGAGCGTTTAGATAATGTGTTGAAAAATTATAGCGCAACTCCCAGACTCGTATTTGTACATTTGAAAAATATAGTTCGACTCGTGAAACAAACACTCTGGCATTTTCACTGTGCAGTTTAATAAGAAACAACATTTAAAACGTCCAAAAATCAAACAATATGTTTTTTTTTTCCACAATAAAAATAACACAAGTTTCATAAAATTAGCATCGCTTCTCCAGACTTTACACTTTCACCAAACACATCAGCACCTTGCAATTTTTTTAGTTACATTTCCACTGAACTACTTAAAACCACATAATGTCTTGCTTTCTAATGACATATTTTAGTAATTAGAAACAGGTACATATATAAAATCCTATATTACTGATGCACTAACAATGTCACAAACATAATAAACGTTCATAGAAAAAAAATATATAAAAAATACTACTTTGTGAGACATTTAAGAATTTGTCCCAATTCATCTCTATTCAAGATATCACCTTTAAGTGACCCACGTGTCAACAGACCATCAGTTTGTCCTTGTTCAGATGGAGGTTCTCCAGGTAGTGCTGCACCTTTGCCAGCATCTCGTAGTGTTGACTGATTGGAAACAAATGCTCCCTGGCCTGTGCGCCGGGCTTGTTCCGAATGGGACAGTCCATCATTAAGGCGAGCGAGCGCACTCGTCCTTCCAAGCAGGAGATGTCCGCCTGGATCTGGCTCAGGACCTCTGTGGACAGGCTCTGCAGCTCCTCATCTAAAAGTCCCAGGTCATTACTGACGCCTGTCAGTCCGTCAATGGTTGGAGAGTTCACCTCTACCTGTGACAGCACCTGCCACTGAGAAAGAGGAGCACACGGGCTTTTAGTGAGGAATTAAACTTAACACATCAGATCCTATAAACAATGCACGTACCTTGGTCTTTAGTTTAATGTGAACAAGAGTCATTTTGACGATGTTTAGGATGCTGTGAATGTTTTTTTCGATGGATTCATCCATTGTTGGAAGACTTGTGCACTCAGGCGCCATCATAAGCGATGCATATAAAAGTGCCAAAGGGAAGTGCATCCTGGGAGAAAAAGTAAGATTGACACACTAAAACAGAACACTATATTTTAGCTGTTATGTATAAAACAAAATAGGTACAAATGCATCCCCTACCTTTGCAGTTTCACTTGTGGCTGTGCTGCGTTGACACTGAATCAAAGAGAGATGGCACATGCCTAGTTCACAGGTCTAATTTAAATACTCTCTTCCTAGCCCAAATCTTGACTGGGACTACACCCCTTCTGTCATCCACCCACCCACCCACCCACACCCGTTGTCAAACCTGAGTCTGACCTCATCATAACGCTGTGGAAATTTATTATGAACCCAAACAGATTTCACTGACTCAGTTATATGGACTTCATTCCTATCTGGTATTTTTAAATGTGTTTACTTATGATGGTGCAACTTACTGGAAATGGTGCAAATTGGCTTTATCTTGAGCTGGCCCATAAAAGGCAAACAATAAAAAATCCATGCAGACAAGACAAGCTGTAGATGATTACGTGCAAAAGAAGAAAATCCTTCTAACTCATTCAGCTGATGCAAGCGGAGGAACGCTGGAGAGCTAGTGGGTATGGCCTCGATGGATGGATGGACGGATGGATGGCACCGCGCTGCTCAAGTGAAATGCAGCTGTTCTGACCATTAAAGTTTATTTATTAAGGAAAAGTTAAACTGAGACACACCTTTGCTATAATTCAGAGCAAACAAATAAGTTAAATTGCTTTTAAGTGTTAATTGTGTAAATTGTGCTGTTGCTGTTTTTATGCTATGAGGCATCAAAAGATGACCTTCTTCACATTTTTAAGACTAAGATCACCATTCCCTGTACTTTAATCTGTAATATGTGATTGTGGATTTGATCTGCTGACCCTGAAACAACAATTGCTGTAATTTAGAATATGTTTCTAAATATTTCCAAAAAATGAATGTGGTTACAAACATAACACTTTATATCTAAAAAAAAGTTTAATCTGGTCCTCTGGACATTCAAAAAACAAAAAAAGCAAAGCAAAAAAAAAAAAATGTAGAAACATTTCGTCTTTCATCCAAAAGACTTCCTCAGTCAACTGATATATATATATATATATATATATATATATATATATATATATATATA